ACTCTTTAAAATAAAAAATGGTTCAAAAATAAAATCAACACTCTACAATAAATAAGGGTTCAAAAATAATATCAACACTCTTTAAAATAAAAAATGGTTCAAAAATAAAATCAACACTCTACAATAAATAAGGGTTCAAAAATAATATCAACACTCTACAATAAAAAAAATGGTTTAAAAATAAAATCAACACTCTACAATAAATAAGGGTTCAAAAATAATATCAGCACTCTACAATAAAAAGTCTTTTTGAACCATTAAGAAAACTATTCTAGTTTTTGATGGTAGAATAATTTTATAACATGATGTAAAGCTCAAAAAAGTTGATTTTGCATAATTTTCTCTCCTAGTAAGCTCATTTGAAATTTAAGGACTAATGTTATGCAGCAAGAAAATCCTTGAATTTCTGCCTTGGGAAGTTTGCTTGTACTCCCTGTGCATCTTCTTAACATTATTGGCTTCCTGTAAGAACAGAAATTAGGCAGGATATTAATTTTTATTTTTCAAAATTCAACAGTTTTTGGACACCTTGTAAACACGCTCTTCATCATATTCTGAGAACTTTCACCCTGATGGATCACAGTCAGGTTGTAAGTAGAGCCTGAAAATGCAAACAGCAACCAGACAAATTCATTTAAAGTCAAACCATTCTTCTGCAGCTGATCAAAAGCTGAAGACAATAACTCTATAAAACTCTAAAAACCTGGTTTTAATGTTGTTTTCTCTCAGGGATTCATCCTGACACACTGGCCTGATGGCAGCCTGGAGACCCTGCAGCAGGGATCCTGCTCAGCCGAATCCCTTCACCTGTGCAGTGATCCCTGGGTCGTTTTACATTTTGAAGGTCAGCTCATTAACTGTTTAATTTCCAGCAGAGCAAAAGGATTTTAATCACATCCGTATTTTCCAGCAGTAAAAATATTATCTTTTGAACAAATCTTTGTTGTTAGGCCTGTGTTTATGTCATTGGGAGCTACAATCACTGTCTTTAAAGGACTAATTAAAGCATTAAATGTATTCTGTTGTTTTTAAATTAATGCTATTTAGCTACTGTGGCTGATAAATTCACGTTCTCCCTGTCTGGCAGTCATGGGCACTTGCCCAGGGTGGCATTGGTAAGAAGGGCGTATGCGGCAGATAAAAAATAAATAAATAAAAAACATAGCACATGACTCAAACTGCACTGCTGGAGACGTTTCTTTCCACTGTGGCCTCATACTTGTTCACTTTCAGATTATTGATAAATGTCCAGTTCAGTCGACTTGTCTGTGTTCATACTGGTTTAATAAACTGAGCTGACTAAACTGTATCATAATGATCAAATACTGTATGTCATTGAATTTCACGATGTTTGAATGATTTGTTGTGAATTGACGCTTTATAAATTAGCAGAAATTCATTTCCTTATGGGATATTGTTTGGTTTTTTATTTATTTACAAACATGGACCAGTATTTTTCTTAAACTGAGGTTTTCTGTTGCTTCCCAGTTCCTTCTTTGCATGTCACAGGGAACATCTAAGCACACTTATTCTCTCTCTAGAAGTTTTTCTGCTGATCTCTACATAAACATTGTTGGGCCGGTCTTTTCCTCCTCGCCTTCCTCCCTCACAGACACACCTGTAGTTACGGGCACATCAACACACTCTTTCCTTCCTTCTCCCCCACTTTCTCTCTTCCTTGCCTTTTCACACACACACACACACACACACCTGGTCTCTCCCACCTTTCTGCCAGAGTGTGAGTCTCTTTATGAGAAGCCTGCCTGTCGCCCAACTGTGAGGCCCTTTTAATTAGAGCCCTGCTGTTAAGCACAGACCAACTCCAGTGGTCCAATCCACTCCTCATCACCTCTTTCCTGCAGCCTACACACTCTGTCTCACACACGCACCAGCACTGAGCCCCTCTATTCTTTGATTGTCCGTCAAGCATGGTTTCATTGAACAAAAACGGAATCCAAAAAATCTAATTGAGCAAGAAGAGGCACAAAAACAACCTTCGGCATGCTTTTAAGCCATTATTCCTGGTGCCACATGTTGATTATTTTACTTTTATTCGCTTACATATACATTTTCTTCTGGGAAAAGTGGAAGTATGTGCATGTGAAATATGTGCTAAGATAATAACAAGCTCTGAAAATATGCAGCTGGAGTATTATCAGGGAGGTGATAAGTGAGAATGGCAACAAGCTTACTCCACTGTACCGCCGTGGAGAAAATATTCCTGGAACTCAAGCTGTTTCAGCTTACTCTGCATTCCTTCATTTCCCTTTTCCAGCAAGGACAAACCTCTTGGATAAAAAAAAAACCAACAGAATCTCAGACTCAGTGAATCTCCTCTTCACGCATCCTGCTGCCGTGATGAAAGAGCTATTGTGCTGGGTGGCCTCCTGAATAAGCTGCTTTCATGAGGAGCCTCCACAATCAGGGTAAGATGATTAGAAACAATGGCAGGTGGGCTGATGCTATGTTGAATCAACTCTGCTTTCCGGAGTTTTATTTCCCAAAGCTGCTGCTGCTGCTGCTGCTGCGGTCTGTGTGTGTCACTCGCTTCCTTGCAGAAAAATGGGGGATTACGCCCTTAAAACATGGACATAAATCAGTCTTTGGGTGACAGACAGGACAGCTGTGGTGTAGCGAGATGGCCAATAAACCCTCTGAGGTCTGCAGATTTGGAGGAACCCTGAGAACTTCTTCCATCTGTGGCGACTTGTCTTCAGCTTGATGTGGAAAGACAGATTGTTTAGGACCATGGGGACTACAGGGTGGAGGAAGAGGATGAAGAAGGAGGAGGAAAAGGGCTGCAGCTGTTGTTTTGTGTAGTTTAGTGGTCTGCTGCGGTTTGCCAGAAATCACAACAGAGCTGGAGTGGTACAGCCACTGTTGCCAGATTGAAGTGATAAATGAATGGACAGATTGCTGCATAGATTGATACAGAGGTTCTTCTGCGGTTTGTTCTGCAAATGTTGCTTCGCTGAGTGTCTTCCGGCCTGTATCGACCCTTCCTCTGCTGCGGGAGAAGCTGACATCCAGCTCCTGCCAAGCGGCCCCCCTTCAGCTCGCAGGGCAAGAGTTTTTATTGTGATTGTTTTTAAAGATTTTTTTTTCTCAGTTTCTGCCCAACGCAGCACACATTTCAGGAAAGCAGGGAAGGAAAATAAAAGGACGTGGTGGGGAAAGAAAAGGAAAGAGAAGTTGAAATTGAAGATATTTTGCTGAAGGACATTCACAGAGGCAGCTTTTAACACCCTCCTCTCCTTCTCTTCCTTTGCCCTCCATCCCTCCTTAAACACACTTCTCCCTTTTCTGCTCTTTAAATATTGAGAATCACTGTGAGTTCCCCTGCCCTCCTCCTTTTGAAGCTGCTGCCCCTTCAACAGCTCAGCAGAGAAGTGCACTTGGAGCTGAAAGGCTCAGTATATGGCAACAGCAAAAATTCCCCCCATGCAAGGCCTTCTCGCCCCCTCCAAGCCTTCACCCCCAGGCCTCCATAAACTGGTCTGATCTTTGTTGGGTCCCAGGCTGCACCTTTTTCCCAGATCTCCATGTTCTCCGTCTGCAGGCCAAACTCTCCCTCTGGGCTGGATTTAGCTGCTCATTTCTCCTCTTGCAGGGCGGTGAGTTTCCAGCCAACACACAGCAATACCCAAATGACTCGAGTCACAGATCTTTGCCTTCTACTAATAAAAGCATATTGTTTTCAGTCCCCAGTTTGCATTATTTACTTTAAACACATTTCTGATTTATTTCATCTTTTTATAATGCTTTGGTTTGAACATTGCTGTTGTTAACTCTCCAGGTTTGTTTGTGATAGCATTATGTCACCATTCATGTTTTTTAAAGCTAACACTTTTAAACCGTTAGATAAATATCAATCTGTTTCTTCTGTTACATGTCTGGTAAATTTGTTCTGCTTGTTTCTTTTATGCTCGCCATTTTTTGTTCCTTTAGCTGCTGCAGCCTGAGCAGGTGTATAGGAGGAGCCGGCACAGCATTTCCTGTTTAAATGGGTGTATGATGTCACTGCCGTCATCACTGGGTACAACCAAATGGAGGGTTTTATTTTTTTTTTTATTGTATTTAGATTTTATTTTTTTTTTTAAGTTTTCTTTTTGAGAAGCCCAGTATTAAATGTTTTAGTTTGTAAACCATTAAGTTGTGTAGATGAGTTTGTAAATTAGATTAATAATTTTATTCCTGTTTCTTTTTTTAGATGTTGTTGTGTGTTTGCCCTGTTGGTGCAGTCTAATTCAGTGCAGGTGTGTTTCCAGTTCTGTGTAAAACCAGGAAGATTTTGGCTACTGGGATGTAAGATGTCAGAAAACCAACATGGCAGAGAAACTCTCACTACACCACCTCACAGTCCTATCTGTATTTTTCCACTATCTGTGTGTACATTGCACAAGTGGGAATTACAAACAATTATTTGTTTAGTGAAAGCACACCAATTTATGAAAATCTTAATTTTTTTTGCACTATGATGAGGAGATTTTTGGCTCTATCATAATTAGAGTATTTTGCAAAACTGCTATGGAAACATGTTTTTTGCATCACACAAGCCTACTACTGGCAGACAAGGATGATGGCCTGTTTTTAATGACTTCTCATGTGAACAAACTTATTCACATGTAATTTTAATTGTGTTTCTTGTTTAAACACAACTAGTGCTCTGCAAAGGTTTTCATGTTCCTTGAAGTTTTTCAAAAGCAAATTCCCTCAAACTTGATGGTATTTTGATGTGATTTTATTGTTTTACACTAACAGAATATACAAATCATCCTGAACACCATTCCCACCTTGGCACATGGTGGTGGCAGCATCATGCAGTTGAGATGCTTTTCTTTAGAAAAAACAGAAAAGCCAGTCAGTTGACATTGGGCCAGTCCTGGAAAACCTGTTAGAGATGGGAGAAAGACCCTTAACATACTGCCAGAGCTGCTGTGGAATGATTTAGATCAAAACAATTCATGTCTTAGAACAGCCTAGTCAAAGCCCAGATATAAATCCAACTAAGAAACTGTGACAAAACCTAAAAACCAATGTACACTCTCCATGTTTTCATGTTTAAAGCTGATAGACATACCCCAGTTGATGCTTCAACAAACTATCAACTCAGGGAGGATAAATACAAATTATAAGCCACACTTTTCAGATTTTATGTGTAAAAATGTTTGAAAACTATCTATAGTTTCTGCACCATTTTCCGTTGGTGTGCCATGTAACCCCCAGCGACATGAGGCCCCTGGTGTGCACTGCGGAGCGCTGTAACTGTTTGCTCACTAGTTGAGTGCAGAAGTCTGTGATGTGGGCAGCTGGTGCCTGATTTCCAAAATGGCTGAAAAGACAGCCACTAAAATCTGCATTCCTTCATGTAAATGGACTCTCTAAAAAGAAAACAGTAAATAGCAGCTAAACAAAGCCGAAGCTGTAAAAGTTTCCAGTTGGACTGAACATGGTTTCCTGCGTTGCTCTCATGTCCAGTGAGCCCCAAACAGAAAGAAAGTGCAATAGACTCAGATCTTAGGAGTGTTTCTGCCCACTTTATGAGACCAGCTTTTTGAGTGTTTTAATGAGGAGGCCATGGATGGGTGGTAAGGCAGGGAAGATGAGAGATTAGAAAAGATTGAGAAGGACTAAAGGACGGGCGGTTGGAGAGGAGTCGTCAGGTTTTAATACCCGCTTTTCACTTCAGGTCTAATTACTGGTGAAGAGGGGGTGGGGGGCCAAACCACATGTAACTGCTCCCTTTAATTTTTCACTTCTTCTCTTCTGGATCTATATATGTTTTGCTGCAGCTCCCTTTTTGATCAAAACACTGGTTTGTTTCTCTTTCTTCAGTTTTACAGCATCCAGAAATAAAATCAATCCTTTTGCTTTCCAGGATATTTTTGCAAGCAAATCTTTATTTGTTGAACAAAGTTTTGACGCCGGCGTGCAGGTCCATTCCTGTCTTGTTGTTCAAGAAAAAAAAAAGAATTGTATTTTGAGCCCCGAGTGCCATGGCAAGAGATTGGCAGTTTGCAGTGAGCTGATAAAGTCACCATCTGCGTTGGTGTGTGTGTGTGTGTGTGTGTGTGTGGGTGTGTGTGTGTGTGTGTGTGTGTGTGCAAAGGAAAGGGGTGGAAGCTGAAAACCTCAGGAATGTGTTTTCGATAACAAGTTCCCCGAGCGCACTAGGCTTCTGATGTTTTACTGTGTTGTCTTTGTGAGTGTGAGTGTGAGCGTGTGTGTGTGAGTATCCGCAGGGAGAGGGAGGGCTTTACAGCTTTCTTGTTACAATTACAATCGGTCATGAGTGTATTGTTGCATTTCAGATGTAAATTGTGATTGAAAACTCCAGCTCTCTCTGAAAAATGTGAGCGCAGAGCTGATTAGTTAGCAGTTCTTTGTTGTTTTTTGGGCAGCACAAACTGACACTCCTACCTGTGCAGCACCATTCCAGGTCATTGCTCATGCCTCGTGTGCAGCGGTGCAGCATCGTGCAGCAGCAGAGCCGTCGCTAAGTTGTGCGTCCTCCTCTCCACGGGCCGCCTCATTAAACTTCCAGTCAAACAGTTAAAAACTCTTCTGCCGCTCGGTCCCTACAGTCAGCAGCAGAGGACCAAATTAGATTCAGCCTGTCCACTGGGTTTGAAGCCAGACGGAAGGATGGCGTTTGCCAAATCTAAGCTAAGCAGCGCTGCGTGGCTGCAGGTGGCGCTTTCTGAGCCTTCACGCTAACCTCACACACCAGCGTGACCCAGACTGAGCTGAGTTAGATTTGTTTTTCTCCATCTTCTTCTGACTCGGAGAGCATTCCTGACCAGATCAAAAAAAATCATTTGGAGGCTGCTGGTTCTCTTATGTTGTTTTTCTGTTTTTTCTTAGATGTTCTAGATACACCAGTCATACATACCATTATGACTACCTGCCTGATGATTGGTCAGCTCCAATCCAAAGTCCAATGGATTTTGTGGATGGCACAAAACCCATTGGACTCAAAAGTTCTGCTTCGGTGCCAGATAGGGCTGCAACTAACAATTTCTTAAGTAATCAATGATTATTCTGACAATTAATTGGATCAAAACATTGGCACATTCTGCTGATTTTTCATTTAAGCTTATTTTATACACTATTAGAAATACATTACAAGTTGCAAAAACACAAATAAAATAAAGCTTAAATGCAAAATATATTTTTCTACAGTTTTGGCTTAAAAACAGCTCAGAGTGTGTTGATCTTTTAGCAAATGACCTTTTTTAGAATCTCATTTGGTCACAGTTAGTATTTTTTGCAGTGTGGACAAGCTGTAAAAAATATTCTTTGAGTTTTGCTTCAAAGTTTCAGAGTGTTTTATTCATTTCCAAACCAAAGATGCTCTTTGACTGTCAAACACTTACCTCCCATGGTGCTTGACTCCAGAATAAAGTGTTTGTTTTTCCTTCAGTCA